AAAAAAAAAAAAATGAAATAAGATGCAAAAGTGTACAGATGCATCATATAAAGGCTAATGGCTGGAATTGGTTGAGGGCCTGTGCTAAAATGATACATTGGGGTATGGAGAAAGAAATTATTGAAGAAATTTCAAGTACTCTCTTAAGCTATAGCACCCTTATTCCTTGAAAAACCATGAAACCGCTATGCTTGACCCTAATTACCTTAAATTGCCCTAATAAAGCCCTTGTGATAAGTGCCTGCATGTGTATTACCATTGGTTTCATTTGGAAACGAAGAGCAAAGTTGAATCCTGTGGCGTGAGTAGTAGATATGAGAGAAACACTCACCCCTATACACTAGTGTGCATATGAGAGAAACACTTTCCTAGTGAGGATGCATTCATAGATAGTCATTAGCTTTTCTCAGTTCTTTGATCTCTTTTGAAACTTTTGTTTGCACATTGTCATGTTCCATTGCAATAATTGTGGCTGAAAATTCGTTTAAGGTTCATGCTTGTGAAATGAAATTGTAAGTGAACCAAGAATAAGGAATTTGACACACATGCATTGCTTGTTATCTGCTTGATTAATTACCTTTTGCTTGAGGACAAGCAAGGTTCTAAGTTTGGGGGAGTCAGTAAGTAGGAGCCTCTTCATATCTTTGTCTAAGTAACTCAAACTTTATAGTCTTACATTTGTCCTAATTAGTCCTAATTAGTGCTTATACAAAAGATTATGTCACTATTTCAATTCTAAGCACCATGGTAATAAACATGAATTGTTTTTGTTACATTTATAAAGTTTGACACAGTTTAGAATTGTATATATATATTGTTTTCATTGATCAAGCTGTTTGTTTTAAATTTCTGCTTCTATTTTCCAGGTCTACATAGCTGCAATTCGTAATAGAAACCTTCCCCTTCCTGCAGATCCTATGGAATTATACGAGATTGAACAGGACAAAGAAGCTTCAGTGGAAATAGAGTATCAACCTCATAGAGATATTTTCAGGTTCAATATGTCTAAAATTAGTGATATATAGCCACATAAGTTACTTGTTGATAGTAGTACTAAACCTGATGCATGGTTAGAGTAAAAGGTCTTAGATTTCATCCTTTATGTATCAAAATGCTTCTTCTGCCTGTTATGTCACTCGAATTCCCATGCACCTAGTTCTAAAATTTGAGGTCCGTTTTCACAGGTTCCTGGACAAAGCAGCTATCCAAAGAAAATCTGATGTGAAACCTGAGAACCAAGAGACTCCAAACCCATGGAAAGTATGCAGAGTGACTCAAGTAGAAAATGCAAAAATCATTCTAAGCATGCTCCCTATATTCTGCTGCTCAATCATAATGACCCTTTGCTTAGCACAACTTCAAACCTTCTCTGTTCAACAAGGCACCACCATGGACACCAGGATCACCAACCACTTTAACATCCCACCAGCATCCCTACCAATCATCCCAGTTGCCTTCTTAATCATTATAGTCCCTTTCTATGATCGCATTTGTGTGCCTTTTCTTCGTAAATTCACTGGCATTTCCACTGGCATCACACACTTGCAGCGCATAGGAGTAGGCCTAATACTCTCTTCCATCTCCATGGCAATTGCAGCAATCATAGAAGTCAAAAGAAAAGGAGTTGCAAGAGAACACAACATGCTTGATGCATTGCCTGTTAAACAGCCATTGCCTTTAAGCATATTCTGGCTCTCTTTTCAGTATTTTATATTTGGCATAGCTGACATGTTTACCTATGTTGGACTTCTTGAGTTTTTCTATTCAGAGGCACCAAAAGGCCTTAAATCCACATCAACTTGCTTCCTGTGGTGCTCTATGGCACTTGGATATTTTCTAAGTTCCATATTGGTGCAAGCTGTGAATGGTGCCACAAAGAATATTACTGCAAGTGGAGGCTGGTTAGCAGGGAACAATATTAACAGAAACCATCTGAACCTGTTCTACTTGTTCCTTTCCATATTGAGCTTGATCAACTTCTTTGTCTATTTGTTTGTTTCAAAGAGGTACAAGTACAGGCCTCAATACCCTGCAGTTACCGGTGGCAAATCAGAGGAGTGAATACTGGGAGATAAAGATTTAGCTTAATATGATTAAATATATAACGAGTGAAAAATTAGTGGGTTGTACTTAATTTTCTTTGTGTGTCAAATGTAAGTTAAAAAATAGAGGATTCATATTTCTTTTCTTATATTCTTCAAACATACCACACGAGTTAGATGGATGATTTCTTTTAAATGTTGCCTATTATTCTAGCTTGTTCTCATTTCTAGTAGAATCATTCCATTATCTCAATCTGATACTTATTAAAGTGTTCCTTCTTGGTCACCATGTCATTGGTGAGAATATTTTGACCGGCTACTTTTGGTAGAGCTACTCTCAACCAAGTTTTTCTTGCCGAAGATGTTGGGGGAAAGGTAACAAAATAATAACAATTTAACGCAAGTAAAAATCGAATCTCCTTTTTCCTTACACAAATAACAATAGGCTTCAAAAGTAATAACATGCACAAAACAGGAAAAAAAAAATCAATAGGCACCAATGTGAGATGAAAAAAAATAAAAATCAATAGGCACCAATGTGAGATGAAAAACCCACAAGAGTAATCTAGTACAAAATCCATTAATAATAATATATTGAGCTTGATCAACTTCTTTGTCTATTTGTTTGTTTCAAAGAGGTACAAGTACAGGCCTCAACAACCTGCAGTTACCAGTGGCAATTCAGATGATTGAAATGTTGAGATTCTCTAAACATGTGTCAAATGATGCTCCAAACACAGAAAAATCATCCATGAAAATTTCTATACTCTTCTCCACAAGATCGGAAAAAATGGCCAACATACACCTTTGAAAAGTGGCTGGTGCGTTACATAATCCAAATGGCATTTTTCTATATGCGAAAACACCAAAGGGACATGTAAATGCTGTCTTTTCTTGATCTTTTGGGTCTACTGCTATTTGATTATAACCAGAGTAACCATCTAAGAAACAATAATAGGCCTGACCCGCCAATCTTTCTAACATCTGGTCCATGAAGGGTAATGGAAAATGATCATTCCTTGTGGCTTGGTTCAGCTTCCTGTAATCAATACACATCCGCCAACCAGTGACTGTGCGTGTCGGGATCAATTCATTCTTGTCATTCATCACCACTGTCATACCTCCTTTTTTAGGAACCACCTGGACAGGACTAACCCATGCACTATCAGAAATAGGGTAAATCATACCTGCTTCAAGCAACTTAATCACCTCTTTTCTGACTACCTCCTTCATTATTGGATTGAGGCGCCTTTGAGGTTGTGCTACAGGCCTATCATCCTGTTCCATCAAAATCCTGTGCATACAATATGAAGGGCTAATACCTTTCAAATCTGACAACGTCCAACCGATAGCTCCCTCATTAGCCTTCAGAACTTCAATTAGCTTCTTTTCCTCCTCAACAGATAGGGAACTATTGATTATAACTGGTTTGCCACCATTTGCTTCAAGAAAGACATACTTGAGATGGCTTGGCAATTGCTTCAACTCTAATTTCTGAGGTTGAAACTTTTCCTCCTTGTTTAAATCTTGAACACTTGTTGAACTAGGAGAAATTTCCTTTGCTTTGTCCAGCTCTTCCAAACACTTCTGTATTTCTTTTTCATCCTCCTCATTGATTTCACTGACTGCATTAACCAGTGCTTTCTCTAATGGTGTAGCTACTGAGAATGACTTTTGAGCTTCCATACACAGCTCATCAATCACATCCACTCTGAAGCAGCCTGACTTATCACTTGGATGTTTCATGGCTTCAAATACATTAAAATTCACTTCATCATCCTGAACTCTAACCTTGAGTTTGCCATCATCAACATCAATAATGACCTTGGCTGTCTTCATGAATGGTCGTCCTAAAATAAGAGGAACTTCAGAATCTTCCTCCATATCCATGATAACAAAATCAACTGGGAACCAAAACTTATCAACTTTCACCAAGAGGTCTTCAACAATACCATGAGGATACTTAATGGATCTATCAGCCAGCTGCAGGGTCATCCTGGTAGGTCTCACCTCTACTTGGCCTATCCTCTGTAACATAGACAAAGGCATCAGATTGATACTGGCTCCTAAGTCCAACAATGCCTTCCCCACAGAAACATTGCCAATAGTGACTGGCAAGGTAAAACTCCCTGGATCTCTAGACTTTTGTGGAAGTGACTTCTGAATTATAGCACTGCAACCTGCCTCTAGCTCCACTGTTCCATCTTCACTCAACTTCCTCTTTTTTGTCAGAAGCTCTTTCATAAACCTTGCATAAGATGGCATCTGTTCCAAGGCCTCTGCAAAAGGTATGTTGATCTGTAACCGCTTGATTATATCAAGGAACCTTGCAAATTGTCGTTCCTTGTCTTTCTTTGACGGAGCATGTGGGTAAGGTAAATTCTTCACAGGAGGAGGCCTAACAACTTCTTTCCCTTTCTTCTTACTCTCCTCCTTCAC